CCTTGTGGCACCAGACTAGCCAATCCAGTCCCTACCATTAGATGGAATTGACGAATGGGATTGCACGGTTGCAAGCAGCCAATCACAACCTTCGATAAGAATTATATAAATTCGGCCACGTTGCGGACTAGGCCTTCCGCAAAGTCACACTGATGATGTTACCTAACATAGCTAAGAAACGTTTGAAAATAACACTTCCAACCAGGAGAACCGTCTAACCAGGATTTTGACCGGTAGCTAATCACCCAGTTTCTACTCAGTTCTAGGCCACTTTATTTCGCTTTCACAGGACTCGAGTTCACAATTTTGCTGTTCACTCAATAGATCCGTTTAACTGGGAAGCTTACTTCCTTCATCAGTTTGAGTGTAATATCGTATTATAATAAATTACAGTAACGATCAGATTCCACCGGGGCTTTATTGAACGCGATAAAATGCTTGAACAATGTCTCCTATTTTTCCACTTAAGGTTTTCAACCCCTTTCGAGACATACATATTTGTTCTTACGGTGTGGTAGCTTTTGAGGTAACAAATGTATTTTAATTCAAACCAATCACAAATAATGCCACTGTAATCCCCTCCTTGTCCGCTGTTTCCCCTTTCCGTTTCTCGCAAACAGTTGTCAACAGGTATTACAACACTCAAGATATCGTCATGGTTTAGAACACTTACCCCCGTCCCATCAATCCAGCCTCTTACTCTGCCCATCATCACGTACTCATGCGCTGTTAACTTTTTTCGCTTGTTGTTCCAGGTCAAGACAAAATCACTCTCAGTGGATGTTGTACTCAGGTGATCTCGATCAATAGTTTGTGTGCTTGCCCTCGCGAATCACTTAATTTTGATGGCTGATCCGTCTGACTGAGGGAGTAAAATCCCATCGAGAGTCGCAGGAACAGTTAGTTTGCTTGACATCTTATCGTGGTATGTGGCCTGTGTTGACGACTCTCCTCTATGGTAGTAGTTGGAATTCCAGCAGAATTCCTTTCCACAATATGGTTTTTTCCAAAGAACTGCACAACTGAACGCGGAACTATCAACAACTATGCAACTTTCTTTCGCGGCAAAACGTTACCAAGCCGATTCGGATCAGATAATTTTTCATTTGCGACACAGCAATCAGAATAAAAAAAATCAAGTGAAAATATGATTATCGTTAATTTTAAACAGAAGGGAGAAACTGAGCGTTGTATTTTGTCACTGTGATAAACAATGGTACAGAAAGATCACTGTGATAGTGTATTGGTCTGAAATGTTCATAGGATTTTCAAAAGAATGGCGACCGAAACAGTTAACTTCTCAAGTTCACCAAGAGCTGTTGGATATTAAAAAGGAGAGAGAGAGGACAGAGGTCTAAGCAAACTGTCGATTCGTGCCTCAATCCTTTGGTCACCATTCTAATCAAACCAGGGCTGTTTGTTGGTATAGGTTTAGTTCTGTTTTGAATTATGCTCCTGCACCAAATATGTCAACACACACCACCTTTCGGTTGCTAATCCTTTAGCATAAAACAAAACGAGTTTGCAGTCTGATGCTTATTCGACTGGATTCCCGATTCGATTCGATTTGAATCGGGACTAGATGAGAAGCCCCGTCGTACAGTAGTTCTCCTCCTATGCCTCGATCTGTTCTCGGCTATTTGCTCAGTTCATCTCACGTTGCATTCTATCAAACATCATCGATTTTCTGTGTTATACTCACTGATACCGATCTTTGTTTTGGATTCATCGTATTATCTCCAATTCACATTATAGTGCAGAAAGGTTATGCGAAAAACTCCTTTTGCTTTGCGTAATTCCTCTCCATCAACTGGAAGGTTAGGTACTCAATATGTAGTATTAAATGAGGCTATTAAACGAAAAAACCAAAGTGGATTAGGATGAAGTAATTGTGAGTGGGTGGGTTAATGAATTGTTGGTCTCTGATTGCGTATACTGAGTGTTCCGAATATAACCCAACCATCGCTGGTTGGGCACCTGGGAAAAGGAATGTCAGTCACAAAATCTACCACGACCATAAAGAGCCCCGATTGAAGATTGAGTAATTAAGCGAGTGTGTTCGTCCACGTATACCAGGAACAGGAGAGCCATTTTTAACAGTGGTTATCGATCGACACGGAACTGTTTGTTTCAGTCCCGTCGGTGGGACGCATTTTGGATCAGAGCTGTGCAAAGCAATATTGTGGGGATTCAGTTGATTCGTTTTGTTACTAAGGCTGTGACAGAAGCTGCACAGCTTTCGATCCGGCCATTGTTAGAGTTATCTTTATCGGACTCAAACATACTGTGTTTACAAGCATATAACGTCTCATTTTCTGGAGTACCTCATGGTTTTTGTCTCCCTTTGGTTATCCACAATAAATGAAATGTCTGTGATCATACTTGGAGAAGTTGGTGATGATTGCCTGAACTGTTCAGCCGCACTGTGCTCTTTAATTTAATCTTATTATTTCCTGTCGAATGTCCTAATGACAAACCTATCATTTTCATTTTACCTCAGCAAAGCTGATTCGAAAATGTTTCACGCAGAAAAAGCGGACATTCGATTTCATCACATTCCTAAATGTGTTCCCCCATCTGGGATCAATTTACTAACGAGGCTTTGTCCTACCACGTCAAAAAATATAACTGACACCGAGATATTTTGAACCGGTTCAATTGGGTATTTCAGAATATCGAAATGAAGTTTCTTCATATCATACATCTGTTTTGTGGTTTGTCATGGACGGAAAGCGAAGTAAAAACAGTTGCATCCTCTCGTCAGTAGTCAAGCGCTTTTGATGGGGATTTATACAAATAGCCAAATGTCAGAAGTGCCCACACACCTATTGATCCGGTGTCCTAGAGTTAGCTTATGCTCTAATTTTCTTGAGGTTCGAAATCCGGGTTTCCGTATACACACCCCACCTTCAGATGCGCTACCTGCTCGTGGCTCATTACAGCTCGATTATAGCCTCAGATGTTTGCTTTTTGCCATCTCGCTTCAATAAAAAGACCGGTCATGGTGAGAAGACACCAAGTCAAACCTTCACATGGAATGCTTTTAGCGATGCATTCCGTCGAAGCTTTTCCTGGGTCGAGAACTGTGAATGTCGCTCACTCACGAAGAAACTGATGCATTTTGAGGGCCTATGCAGAAAATATGGGTGCTGGGTTTAAAAGTGATCTTCTGAATTGTGAAATTCATCTGAATCTATTTTTCTTGGGTTGATATTTTTGATGCTGCCAGCGATTTCACGGTACCCGCCAATAAAACCCCTCTTAGACCCTGATTCTTATTTGTTTAATTATAGTATTGGATGATTCGATTCGATTACATAATGAGTTGCCTCGTGCTCAGGGTGAACTGAGAAGTTTGGCTGCACTCATCGTAAAGCGTTTTCGATCTGGTTAGGTATTAGCAACAGTGCGAATCCATCGACCCCGCCCATGATCGAGCTGAACTTCACAGTGCTTTTCAGTTCACAATTGCTATATTCTCTGTACACAACAAAACTCAACTAGATAATCATTAAATGTAGTCATTGTTACCATCGGTTTCTTGTGTATCATACATAATCCAAAAAAGTTTTTAATCGTTAGAAGTTAACGGTGAACAATGTCTTAAACCGTATATTTGCACACTTCGTGTCGCTTATGTTCACCGCATATTATTTATTTTCTTCTGGGGGTCTCCCCATTCACTTCACTATTGACTAAAGCAATCACGTGGTTGTTATAGAATCCAATAAACGTGGTTACAACCAAGTGCGATGTTCAAGGCAGCAGAAAGTAATCCGTCGCCTCGGAAGTGAGGGGGACAATGACTTTAGTTTTTAAGAGATCAGTCATCTCGACCTTTGTCACGACATCGTCATTGGGCTTATGCGGCTTTTAAACCACAACGATTGTTATGGGTTAGATAAAACTTACATCGTATTTTCTTTGGGTTTAGTTTCGTCTTTGGTTTCGCACTGATCATCACCTCATCGTCAGGATTGCTCAGAATATAGGGTGTGCGGGGTGGAAGAAGGGAGCTTAGGCTTTTGCAAAAGTTGTTTTTGGCCATACACAATGGGTGTGTGTGTGTGTGTAGACGAATTCCTACACTTTCACTGTGGTTGGCATACGATCACGAACCCTATACAGGAGTTGGAATGCCTCGGTGAGATTTGCAGGGTGATTTGTTTAAGCTAGGTGTGAAATTACTACACTACAGAGTGACCTAATCGTTCCTGTGTGTGGGAAGGGAGGGGGAGGCGACTGGTCATGGATTTGTTTGAACAAACGTCTGAATGCGCGACGTATGTACTTTGTTCCGCACGAACCGCTAAATGAGACGGTAGAATCAGGAATTTTGTCCTTCAGTCGTAAGCACACAATGGGTTGGGACGTGAACAAAATACAGCTTTGAAACATACTAGGTTTTGCTAACTGAATCGAATCGTCTTCTTGGTATTACCTCTGCGGATTTATTCACATTGAACGACAAGGCAGCACTTCCTTCTGACAATGTCTCCATTGCATCGAATCATCTTGCTCATCAGTCACTCCGGACAGGCATTATGTGTTATGTTAATTTTCCCTATATTCTGTAGTGTTTTGGCATTACTACGAATGACTGAAACCTTGATTACATTTCCCCATGCTAACAACGACAAAAATGTAATATATGCTTTGATCATATCAGGAGGCAAATCAACCAGGGTACTGAAGAAATCTTTCAAGGCACACGCAAATAACGCATGCCCCAACAAGCCTTGAATTGATTGGTTGGTGGCTATTTTCATTTAGATGGTGTCTGTATCTGACTCATGGAGAGCACAACTTTCCCGTGCCTAGTCCAATTTGATCCTAAGGTTGGGTGAGATTTTCAGAACTAACCTTCTTCACAGTTTGTTTGTTTGTTTTCTGAATTTTCATCCCTTGTTTTTTGTTTCCTGTTATCTATTTTGCCTTTTTTCCAATAATTTTGTCATTTGCTCGTGGCTTATTTCTGTTCTAAACCCTTTTTGTATCAGGTAGCAAGCATTCATTGGAGCGATCGAAAGTACACTGATGTGGTCAAAGTTGAAGTATGGGACGTGGTAGACAAAGGAAAGCCGAGAACTTCCGCTCAAGGTTTGAAATTTCGTAATACCGATGTTCAGGTTAGTGTTACCGATATACAGTCTTACTACTCGCGAGTAGTCAAAACATAAATTCGTTAATACTATTCGTATCTAGCAAAACGTCTATCCGCAAACCCCTGAAATATTGAACTTTTCCATTCCTATGTATCGTATTTCTTACAGAATCTACCTGAACCGTGTTTGGATGCCAGTTTTTTGGACGTGTATAAAGGTGCCCATGGTGTTATTCTGGTAATGGACATGACCAAATCATGGTGAGTTGCCCAGTTGTTGATGTACAACCTTGGTAACATGCCTTTGCTTCGACAAAACCCATTAGAGTACACATGTAACTAGTTGAACGGGGCTACATAGCTGTTGCGACCGAGAACTCTGTGTGCAACTAATCGCCTGTGTACTTAATTCAGCTGTACACGATCAGAAGTCCTTCGGTTCTTTACAACTCGTCCTGTAGGACACGACATTGTCCCTACTATCTATTTCATTGTAATGGCCTACAATTGATTGATACGTTTGTCATGCATGCCTGTAGCTTGATTGATTGACAGACGCTGTCAGCTAGTATACACGCACGCCATTCGGATTGGCTCTCTTATAATATCGTTCGGTTCCAGCCAATCGGATATTTTATTGAACTGTTCTCGCTGACTGATCGAATGCCTACCGGACGGAATTCGGACGTTGTTTGGCGCTTGAGCCGGTTGTTGGTTTGCCTGTTTTCCTGGCTCTTGCCCTCTCTTGCTTGCTCACCGGCCTAAGGACCGGCTACATGTATGCCTTCTACAATAAACACTATCTAATTCACTGCGTGTTTATCTACCCACTTAAACGGGGACACAAAAATCATGGCACTCCTTTACTTTCAAATATACACATACAATCTTTGGATACTCTGTCTGATTGAGTACTTTGTTTGACATACCAAACAGGTTGTAATATTCTCCCCATGTATGCTTTCTTTCAGGTTTTATTTGAGCAAACAGAGAGAGAAATCCTTGCTTACCCAAGGATAGTCAACCTCACAAAATGGCACGAAGAAACTTTATCAGCTTGCTAGTGGTGGCCTGTAGTAATGAGAAGTTATGCAATATAGATACGTTTATTGTACAACAGAATCCTAACACACTGATACTTCTCTTATTCATTTAACACGCATCCACAACTCCCCCTTATCTTTGTTCGACCCTATTTGGCTATACTCCTTAGACGTTCGATCTACCAAAAGTTAGCAAGCATAGAACATTTTAATGTGTGTGTGACTACTATCTTTGAAGTGGACTGAAATTCACAGAAATTCTGCCTGGCTTACTGAAAACTGACACACCTGTACCGTTTGATCTACTGATCTGTATTCTTAATCCTCTTTGCAACTTCGTCTACTCTATCCCCTCCCCCTCCACACACATGCACACAGGACGTTTGACTACGTATGCCGTGAATTGCCTCGTATCCCATCGGATCTGCCCGTTTTGATAGTATCCAATCATCGGGACATGGGACATCATCGAACAGTGACTGAAGACCAAGTTCGAGGTTTTCTGGAAAATCAGCACACTGTTCCAGTTCCATTCAATACAGTCAATTCGACTAGATGCAGGTAGGCCCCGTGCAGTTTGGACATCAGTGATTTTATATGGACCAATTATCTTGTTCTTTGTAATTTATCATTTCATACATTCTAAAGAAATTGCGTAATGCGAGAGCAATATACACTACTAGGGTGGCGGTGGCGCAGTGGTTAAGTCGCCGTCACTGTCATGCTGTGGACCCTATAGTCCGAGGTTCGAGCCCCGCTAAGGCCACCCAACTTTAGTGGTAGACAGCTTTGCTGTCGTCCGGTTCAATAGCACGTCTAAGCTGCGGAGCCTTATGTGCTTCGTCACTGCAAGTCCCGGGCTTAGGTTACCGGTTTCCATGACGGCGCAGCAGGTCTTCGTGACCATGGGGTTCGTCCCGTCTGCTGTTCACAATACAAATGTGTGTAATAAAAAATAATGCGCTCGATTTACTGGATTCGTATCCAGTCGCCTGCCATGCATTGAAGTGCTTAATACGAAATTACGAAGTGTATGAACGCGAAA